AGCATCTGTGTTCATCAGGGACATTGACCTATAATTCTTTCTTTGTAGTGTCTTTATCTGGTTTTGGGATTAGGGTAATGCTGGTTTCATAGAAAGAGCTTGGAAGTGTGCCTTCCTCTTGAATTTTTTGGAATAGTCTGAGAGGGATAGGTTTTAGTTCTTCTTTGAATATTTGGTAACACTCCCCTGTGAAGCCATCCTGTCCAGGGTTTTTGTTTCGTGGAAGCTTTTTGATTACTGTTTCAATTTCACCAGTCATTATCAGCCTATTCAGGTTTTTTTTATTCTTCCTGATTGAGTTTTAGAAGCTTGTGTTTTTCTAGGAATATATCCTTTTCATCAAGGTTGTCCAGTTTGTTGGAGTAGAGTTGTTCCTAGTGTTTTACAATCCTTTGTATGTCTGTAGAGTCAGTTGTTACTTTACTTCTTTCATTTCTGATTTTGTTTATTTCGGTCCTCTCTGTTGCTTGGTGAGCCTGGCTAGAGGTTCATCAATCTTGTTTATCCTTTCAAAGAACCAGCTCTTGGTTTCATTGATCTTTTGTATTGTTTTTTGGTCTCTGTCATTTATTTCTGCTGTGATCTTCATTATTTCCTTCCTTCTGGTTACCCTGAGATTTTCTTGCTGCTCTCTTTAAATTACAAGGTTAGACAATTTACCTTTTCTTTTCTTTTCTTTCTTTTTTTTAGGTAGGCTTGCAGAGCTATGAACTTCCCTCTCAGGACTGCTTTCACTGTGTCCCATAGATTTTGGATTGTTGTGTTTTCATTGTAATTTGTTTCCAGGATGCTCTTTGGTAACCCAATCATTGTTTAATAGCATGCTATTTAGCCTCCAAGTGTTTGATTTTTTTTTGGTTTTTATTGTAATTTTATGCCATTGTGACCTCAGAAGATGCTTGGTATGATTTCTATCTTCTTGAATTTGAAGAGACCTTGCCTGTGTCCTAATATGTGGTCTATCTTAGATGTCTATTAAGTCCATCTGATCTAGTTAGCCATTTAGGGTTGCTGTTTCTTTGCTAATTTTTTTACTTAGAGGATTTATCCAGTGGTGTCAATGGGGTATTAAAGTCCCCTACTATAATTGTATTTCTGTCAATCTTTCCCTTGATATCTTCTAGAAGTTTTATGTACTTGGGTGCTCCTGTATTGGGTGCATATATATTTTCCAGAGTTATTTCCTAGTGCTGAATTGCTCCTTTTAGTGTTAGGACGTTGCCCTCCTTATCTCTTGCTGTGGCCTTTACTTTAAGGTCTATTTTGTCAGATATAAGTATTGCTATCTCAGCTTTTTTCTCATTTTCATTGGCCTGAAAATATTTTTTCCATCCCTTCACTATCAGTCTATATAAATCCTTTTATTTTGAGGTGGTTCTCTTGTAGACAGCAAATATATGGGTCATGTTTTCTTATCCATTCAGCTACCCTATGTCTTTTGATTGGAGCATTTAATTATTTACATTTAATGTTATTAATGACAAGCACTTGTTTGTCACCATTTTTATTCTTCATGCTTATGTTCCTTCTTGCCTTTCTATTTCTTCTTTTTATAGCAGTCCCTACAGTGGCTCTCAAGCTTCCTAATGCCGCAACCCTTTAATACAGCTCCTCATGTTGTGGTGACCCCCAACCATAAAATTATTTTCATTGCTACTTCATAACTGTAATTTTGCTATTGTTATGAATAATAATATAAATATCTGATATGCAGTATGTATTTTCATTGTTTGTGACCCACAGGTTGAGAACCACTGCTGAGCATTTCTTGCATTTCTGGCTTGGTAATAAACTCTCTTAGCCCTTTCTTGTCTGAGAAGATCCTGATTCCACCTTCAATTTTGAATGATAGATAGCCTTGCTGGGTATAGTATTCTTGGATTCAGTCCCTTGCTTTACATCACTGTATATTTCATTCCATTCCCTTCCCATCTGACCTGATGTGTTTCTGTTGAGAAATCAGTTTTTATTCTAATGGGAGATCCCTTGTAGGTAACTTTCTGTCTCTCTCTGGCAGCCTTTAAGATTCTTACTTTGTCGTTGATGTTTGCCAATTTAATTATGATGTGTCTTGGCATTGGTCTTTTTTGGGTTCAACTTGTTGGGGACTCTATGTGCTTCATGGACTTATATGCTTTTTTTTCTTCCCAATATCAGGGAAGTTTCCTGTCATTATTTTTAAACAATATTCCTTGCTTTGCTTCCTCTCCTTCTGGTATCCTTATTATGCAGATGTTGTTTCATTTCGTGTTGTTCCAAAGCTCCCTTAGGCTCTCCTCCTGCTTTTTAAGTTTTCTTTCCAGTTGCTGCTGTGTATGTGTGTGTTTTCCTACTTTGTCTTCTAATTCACTGATGCAGTCCTCAGCCTCTTCTAGTCTACTGTTGAAGCCTTCCATTGTGTTCTTTATTGCAGCTAGGCCATTCGTTATTTCCTCTTAGTTCCTTTTCATGTTAGTGACATTCTCACTCAGCTCCTTATAATTCTCATTGAGTTGTGTGTATTTGTCATCTAGACATTTGATCATCCTTTTAACCATTAGTCTGAATTCTTTCTCTGACCTATTACTTGCCTCCTTTTCATTTAAGACTCTTTCTGGTGATCTTCTTTTTCTTTCCTTTGGAGATTGTTTTTTTATCTCCCCAATTTTTGCTGTAACGTTTTCATTGTTCTATGTTTTAGATCCAACTGCTTTTCTACAAAGGCCCTTTGGAGGTGGTACTATGTAGTTGGTGGTTTGGGATTCCAGTGGTGTGGTCTCTCATGTCTCCTGGGCTTGGTGATCTAGTGGAGCCCTCTACTTGAGCTATTTGAGTTCTCTTGATGTAGATGGGTCTTGAATGTTAGTTTCTTATTTGTGGATGAAGCTCATTCACGGATTGGCAATGTGACTCACCCGGCTTCATTGTGCAAGGTGTTGTAGATATGATCATGGTTCCAGCTCTTGTGGAAAACGTTGCCTGATGTCTCACTAGTATGTGCTCAATGTGAGTTCCCAGTCCATGGCCTGGGAGGAAGGGGTCTCGGGGCCTGCGGGTCAGGTACTCTGACTTTGGCCAGTGTTGTGTGACTTGCTGGGGTAGCATCACTCTGCAACTTACTATGAGGGTCCCAGACCCCGTGACAGTGGGGGGCGGCTATCCCATTGTCTGTGGTTAAGAATTTGTGACTCTGGCAAAGTGATTTCCCTCTCTGAGTTATAAGGGAGTTCAGGAGCCAGCAGCTGGGAATATAGGAATATGGGGAGTCTGTGGCTGAAACAATGTGACCTTGTCTGGGGAGGTGAGTCCTCAGTAACACACCAAGGTGTCCAGAGGAAGGTAGCTGGGAGGGGGGTGTCATGGATCCTGCTGAGGGAGCCGTATGCCCTTGGTTGGAGATGCACGTGCCCAGTGGCAGCTCACCGAGGGGCCCAGGAACTGTCTGCCGGGGCTATGTGCTCACAGGCTCTACACATGGGAGCGGCGTGATCATGTGTGCTGCCAGCTCTGGAGAGGGAAAAGTCCCAGTTTCTGTTTCAGGAGATGTGCACCTTTGGTTAGCTATGCACGCCCACGAGTGGCTTACAGAAGGCACCCAGATGCTGTCTGCTGGGGTGATGGGCTCAGGGGGCACACGTGCTGGAGCAGAGCAACTGCAGGGACTGGATGCCGGCAGCAGGGGTCACACTTTGCAGAAGCTCAGAGAGGAACCCAAGAGCCACATTACTGGGACAGTGAACTCAGGGGGCCTGTGCGCTGGCTCAGTATGACTGCGGTGACTGGAGGTCAGCAATTGACGAGGGGGAAGTTCAAGTTTCTGCTGTTGGGGCCTTGTTCCCTAGGTTGGATATGAGCACACACAATGGCAGCTCACAGAGGCACCTGGGAGCCGCCTGCCAGGGTGGCAGGCTCAGAGGGACCCACTTGCTGAAGCCACGCGACTGAGGTGTCTCTGGGCAGGCAGGTGGGGAACGGGAAGTCCCAGTTTCTGTTGTCAGGGCTGTGTTCCCTTATTTGGATATTAGTGCACCCAGTGGGTTCTCACAGAGGCACCTGGGAGCCAGGTGATGGGCTCAGGAGGCCTGCGCACTGGAAACCCAACTTTGGTGTCCAGAGGTCAGCAGCTGGGGAGGTAGAATTCACACTTACTGCTGCAGGATCCGTGAAACCTTGGAAATGGACATCCTAGGGTCTGCAGGTCTGCAGGTCTGCAGGTCTGTGGGCGGGGAAGCAGGACTTTGGCTGGTGTGGCTGCAGGGTCATGGGCAGTGTCCAAAGCTAGTCTACATGGTTGTGCTGATGAGTTCCTAGAGGAGGCCACTCTCCCCTTCAAGATGGCCTTGGCTCCGTGCCTGAGCCCCGCAGACTGGAGAGTGCCTGCAGCAGTGGTAGGGGCTCCCTGCCCAGGAGAACCTGGTCTGCCAGCCTCTGATACTCCTGCTAGATTTTCCTGTCCCTCACTCACTCACACACACTACATTCATCCACACACCCTCCTTTCACCCCCTCACTCACTCACACACGTCCTGCCAGCCACCATCTTCTGTTCCCATTCTTTTTTGTCTTGCTTCTTTTCTTCAGTATACTTATTTGATATTCATCCATGTTGCTGTGTCTATCAATAGTTCATTCCTTTTTACTACCTGTTAGTTTTCCATTCTGTGGCTATATCTCAGTTTATTCACCCAAACCTTTGATTTATAACTGAACCGATGTCAATGAACTGTGCCTTCCTATAGCATGGAAACCATGAAATATCTTGTCACTGGTAACATTGACCAAGTCACATCTCTGAAACCACAAATCTAAGGGCAGACCTGGGATGGATGGAGTCTCCCACTGAGGATGGAATGCTCCCTAGAAGGTCAGTTTCTCCAGCCTCTAGATACCATCTTCCAATCACAACAGCATGGAATTGGGAATTTGTCATTTTCACTCTACAGCAGTGTCCTGATTAATACCGATTAAACTAAATGAAAGACTCATTTCTTTTCTCCCAAAATTCAACCCCTTTATTTCAGACTCCTAAGGGGAGCTGTAGGGCAGGAGTGAAGCTCGCCATCGATGTTGGGTATCGGCACATTGATGGGGCCTACTGCTACCAGAATGAGCACGAAGTGGGGGAGGCCATCAGAGAGAAGATAGCAGAAGGATGGGTGAAGAGAGAGGATATTTTCTACTGCGGAAAGGTGAGAGCTTCCCTTCCCCTCCATTCCCTCATATTAATGATGGACCTAATGTCACTTTTCTCTGCCCAAGAAAGTTGGACTCACGAAGAGGAGTGAATTTTCAACTGCCAAATTCCTTACTCTTGCCAAGATGTCAGGGACTAATAAGTCCTTTCAAGTGGGCTTCGGGCAAAGCTCTTTCTTCATACATGGGCATGGATTTAAAACATGCAAAGAACCAAGTCTATAGAGCAAAAATTAGGGAAGTGGAGGGAAAGGATGAGTTGGTTCACATTAGAGAACAGCGGTTCTCAACCTGTGAGTGGCGACCCCTTTGGGGGTCGAACGACCGTTTCACAGGGGTCGCCTAAGACCATTGGAAAACACATATATAATTAAATATTGTTTTGTGATTAATCACTATGCTTTAGTTATGTTCAATTTGTAACAATGAAATTGGGGGTCACCATAACATGAGAAACTGTAATAAAGGGTCGCGGCATTAGGAAGGTTGAGAACCACTGTTATAAAAGTATTTGCTAAAGGTTTCTTTAAACATTTGTGCCTCCTTTTCTGCCTATTTGATCATAGATAACTAATTCTTTTTTTAATTATATCTTTATTGTTGAAAGTATTACATATATCCCCCACTGAGCCCTTCTAGCCAACCTCCAACACCCACAACAGGCCGTCATCACCCTATTGTCTGTGTCCATGGATTATATATATATACACTAGAGGCCCGGTGCACAAAAATTTGTGCACTCGGGGGGGTGGGGGAGAGGGGCCCCCCAGCCCGGCCTGTGCCCTCTTGCAGTCTGGGACCCCTCAGGAGATAACGACCTGCTGGCTTAGGCCTGCTCCTGGATGGCAGAGGGCAGGCCCAATTCCTAGGTGCAATTCCTAGGTCGGGCTCAGAGCAGGGCTGATTGGGGAGTTGGGGCGCCGCCCCCTGTCATACACAGAGCAGGGCGGATTGGGAGGTTGTGATACCACCCTCAGTCAAGCTCAGGGTGGGGCCGATTGGGGGGTTGTGGCGCCACCCCCTGTCACACACAGAGCAGGGCCAATCAGGGGGTTGGGGCACTGCCCCCTGTCACGCACAGAGCAGGGCCCATCAGGGGGTTGGGGAGCTCCCCCCTGTCATGCACAGAGCAGGGCCGATCAGGGGGTTGAGGAGCTCCCCCCTGTCACGCACAGAGCAGGGCTGATCAGGGGGTTGAGGAGCTCCCCCCTGTCACACACAGAGCAGGGCGGATCAGGGGGTTGGGGCGCCACCCTCTATCACCCACAGAGCAGGACTGATCAGGGGGTTGGGGCGCTGCCACTGTCACACTAAGGGCAGGGCCCGATGGGGAGGTTATGGCTCTACCCTGTCACACACAGAGCAGGGCCCGTGGGGGGGGGGGAGGGTTGGGGCACCGCACCCTGTCACACACAGAGCAGGGCCCATCAGGGGGTTGGGGCGCCTTCCCCTGTCACGAACAGAGCACGGCAGATAGGGAGGTTGTGGCCCCGCCCCCTGTCACACACAGAGCTGCAGGGCGATCAGGGGGTTTGGGCGCTGCCCCCTGTCACGCTGATCCCAGTGCTGGGAGGCATATTACCCTTTTACTATATAGGATAGAGGCCTGGGGGCCGGCTGGTTTGCCCTGAAGGGTGTCCTGGATCAGGGTGGGGGTCCCCACTGGGGTGCCTGGCCAGCCTGGATGAGAGGATGATGGCTGTTTGCAGCTGGTCACACACCCTTCAGGGTGGGGGTCCCCACTGGGGTGCCTGGCCAGTCTGGGTGAGGGGCTGAGGGTTGCTTTCAGGCTGGCGGTTGTTGACTGAAGCTCCCAACCGCTCCTTTTTTTTCTCTTTTTTTAATTTTATTCTGGGCCAGCTTTAGCTCTGACTCTAGCTCTGAGGCTTCGTATCTGGTTTGTTTGCCGTTCTATAATTGAAACAATGTATAACTCCAGCTCTGAGATCCTGGCTGACTGAATGCTGGTTTCTGGGTTTTTTTTTAGCTTCTATATTTGTTACAAAGTTTCTTAGAGTTGCAACTCAGAGGCCGGCAAGTCAGGCGGGGAACGTTGGAGTCTGCAGTCACTGAAGCAAGCAAGCCTCATGTTCGCTTCCAGCTGCCTGGCTGCCAGCCGCCATCTTGGCTGACAGTTAATTTGCATAAAGATATGCTGATTAGCTAATGGGAAGGGTAGCGGTCGTACACTAATTACCATGTTTCTCTTTTATTAGTGTAGATGCACATACATGCATACAAGTTCTTTCCTTTTTCTCTTCCCACCCACCTACCCTCCCTTGCTTTCCCTCTGTTATTCAAAAGTCTGTTCAATGCTTCTATGTCTCTGGATATATTTTGTTCATCAGTTTATTTTGTTCATTAAATTCCGCTTATGAGTGAGATCATGTGCTACTTGTCTTTCTCTGACTGGCTTATTGTTGCTTATCACAGCGGTTCTCAACCTGTGGGTCGTGACCCCTTTGGGGGTTGAACGACCCATTCACAGGAGTTGCCAAAGACCATCGGAAAACACATATATAATTACATATTGTTTTTGTGATTAATCACTATGCTTTAATTATGTTCAATTTGTAACAATGAAATTGGGGGTCACCACAACATGAGGAACTGTACTAAAGGGTCACGGCATTAGAAAGGTTGAGAATCACTGGCCTAGCATAATACGCTAAAGGTCCCTCCATGCTTTCTCAAAGAGTAAGAGATCCTTTTTCTGGCGCATAGTATCTATCTATCTATATAAAAGCCTAAGCAACCAACCGATCAACCAGTAACTATGATGCACACTGACCACCAGGGGGCAGATGCTCAACCTGGGAGCTGCCCCCTGGTGATCAGTGTACTCCCACAGTGGGCGTCCTGCTCAGCTGACCGCCAGGTGCCAGATGCCGAGCTCATGGCTGGCGAGCGCTGCCCTAGTGGCACAAGCCTTTCCTGATCGGGAGTGACTGGGAGTGAGCCCATGGCAGGCACAGTGGGGCCAGGAGGCAGGAGCAGCAGGTGGTGTTGGACTGCCAGTTTCGGCCTAATCCCCACATGCCGAGAGCCGGTCCATCCTTGCTGCTTGACACAGTCGCTGCAGGGAAGAAACATCTGCACAGCATATGTTTCAAGGGATCTGAATAGCATACTGTTCTTAATATGTTTGCTCCCCTTAGCACTATGTGTTTTAACCAAGGTCACCTCTCCAAGAAAGGTTGTTTCCCCAGGTAGGGATTTTTCCCTGAGGTTAGGGAGGGGATACAACCCCTTAATTAAGTGCCAGGCGGGTAGTTAAGCTACATAATCTTTACTCCCTGTAATGGAGATAAGAAACGCCCTAACCTTTGGAATAGAAATTGACAGGATTAAAATCGGCTGGTATAAATACGGATGTAACAAGATAATAAACATCAGATCCTCATCAGATCCTCATCAGTTCCTAACCAGAACTCCGACCAGAACTTTGGCTGGAGATCCTGGCTATAGGTCCTGACTAGGCTGCTGATCAACTAAAGGCTGTCTTTGTGTCATTCCTTCTTCGCCGACTCCGTCCACACCTTTGGGAACCCCTCGAACAGGATTCCCCTAGGTAAGCCCCCCCATTGAGAACCCCCACATTTGGAACGGATAGGACTCCACCAGGGTGCTACAGACCCCCCTATAGAGGATAAGTAGGGTAAGAAGGTGGATAGTACAGAACTTAGATTGAGAAGATGTGCCATACTGAGTCCAAAGAAAGAAGACTCTGTATTGATCTTTAGATTAAGAAGATGTGCCATACTGAGTCTAAAGAAAAAAGACTCTGTATTGATCTTTTAACATATATGCTTGCTAGCAGAGGAGTTAAGGTTACTCCCAGTCAGACGGAATGTTTTATACAAGAAGTATGTCCATGCTTTTCTGAGGAAGGAAAGGTGCCAGAAAGGTAAATGTAGAGGCATGGGAGAAGGTAGGCCCAAGGAGCCTTATCCTTAACCCCACTGCAGCCTTTCCACCCCGGGAAAGTGCAGGATTGGAAAGCTCTCCCTGGGGTGATAGATCAGGACTCAGGTAATAGCGAAAAGTGCCAATCCTACTCTTAAAATGGATACAAGAGAGCATTTGGGGTTTTTCTTTTTAATGCCTGCTTTGGATTGAGTAAATGCATTACGTGTGTCCCACAATGGACTCAGAGAAGCTCCTTGTCCCATCGTTCCAAAGACTTAGAGTTGCTTCGATGACAGAAAAGTGGAAAAAAGAAGAAAAGAAAGGCTATGCAAGGGACTGAGGTGCCAACATGGGGTCAGCTGAAGAAGTTAACAACTGAGGCCCAACAGATGGTAGAAAAGCAAGAAGTGGAAGCTACTCTCTCAGCCAAGTCCGAGGACTCTGAGTAAATCAGCAAAAGAAACTTTCATTTAGCAGAAACTCACTTATTTCGTCATAGCACAAGACTTACTTACAGGAGCCTGGAAGGGACCTTATGTCCTTTTAACCTGGGGGAGAGGAGATGCTTGCATATTTCCACAGGACGCAGATTCACCTGTGTGGATTCCAGACCGTCTAGTCCGACCTTATGTCTCACCGCCCTCCGTTTCCACCTCACCCTAGCACACCTAACCAGTGCCCGTCTGCAGCAGATGTACAGCCCTGAGCTGGAACAATCTGTCCATTGGGAGGATCACATGTGCCTCCATATGTCCCAGCTTTGCCCCACATCTTCTTTCCTTTTTCCTTTTTCTTAAAAATCTAACTACTTGTTTGCTGGTTCTTTGGCCTTTCTCCTTCTCTCCTGAACACAGCCTTTTCTAGAATCTCCCTACCCTACTGTTCCAGGAAGGGCACCTCCCTTTTATGCTGTGACTAGGGGTGTCTGGTATATGTCCCATACATGGAGTTGTCTTGTGCCAAGAGCCTGACATCCTGGGCTGAGAAAGCCCTGTCCCAGGACTCTCCTTTGTCCTGTATTGGCCCCTCTTACCCTCGTGTCAAGAGGGACCCTCTTCTTACAATCCAATTGCCCATAGCTGTTGCC